CCCGCTCTCCCCCCCGCCCTGAATTTGCAGGATGGATGTCAGCAGCCGGCTCCAGGTAACCCTGCAGCAGGGGAGCATGTGTCCGATCTGTGTGTTGCAGAGCTGCAGGGCAAAATCCAGCAATTTGAAGCTGCCAACAAGGTATTTCTTCATGAACAGCAAATTCAGTGTCTAGTGAGTCTGATGTAGTTAGTATTGGAGGGTGCCTTCTAGCCTGGCCAGAGGCAGGGGATCTCCATCTCTGTTCCAGCCAGGGGGTGTGTGCTGGCATGATTCTCAGTGCGGTTGTTTGCCAGCTTGAGTTAAAAGCATTTACTTTTTTCTGTAGCTGTGCTGTGTAAATTTTCCATATTTATTTTTGCAAACCATTATTTTGGAAGAACTTCCCACTTGCCTGGTGAGCCCTCTGGGAGCTAGTGAAGGAGAGATGCACAGGGCTATTTCCCTGTCTCTTGGATTTGCATGGGCTGAGCCTGGTGCAGGAGAGGAGGGCACCTGCCTTTTGAGACAGCTGCCTTCCTTTTTGCAAGCAGTAAGGGAGATCAGCGCAGAGGGGATCCTGTTTTCATTTCGATTTAAAGGCTTTCTTAGGAAAGAAACATGCAGCTGAGTTGTCTTGTGGCAGATTAAATTTAACACATGTTGTGAGGGGTTGATGTTCTTAGTTATGCTCTGGAACTCTAAGGTAAATTATACCTACTGGAAAAACAGAGGGATTAAATGAGAAAAAACGTCGGGATGGGATCTTTTTTAAAATCTGGGGCAGCTGTAAGCTGTTGGAGCTGCCTAGACCACAAAGGTTGACAGAGAAATAAAGAGGCCCAAGGCCCAGTAAATGCAGTTGGAAGTGTTTAAACAGTTTAGGGGCAGTGTCTCTTAGAGAAGAGATAACATGACAGGTGTGTAAACTAATAAGCAACGAGAGGAAATCATGTGGCAGCACCAGCTCCTTAGGAAATTGAGGCTTGAGTAAGTTCTGAGGAAGATGCATATAATCCAGGACTAAGAATGCCATCAGGCAGCATGTTTAGAAATGCTAACAAGCAGTTGCTTAAATGCACAATGTGCGCTGCATCATGAACGTTATGGTGAAAGCAGAGAACTGTCCTAAAACTGTTTGAGATGGTAGTCTCTTCAGGGTGAAAAAGTCTAAGGCAAAAGTTCCTCAGGTTGTAAACCAGCCACTGGCTAGACTTTGTTGTGCTGAAGCCAGAAGTTGAGGCTAAATCAGCCACTGATCTGATCAAATGTAGAATTACCTAGACAAGCAGCTGCTGCAAGAGTGCCTGGGTGGACAAAGGAGACAGTAAGAGAAGGGGCTGGAAGATTGTAAAGAGGCAGCTCCAGTGCTCTGGAGAAGCTCAGAAGTAAAGGAGATAGTTTTTAGAATGTGTAGCTTCTCCATGTTGGGTTTTTTTTTTTTTTCAGATCTCTTGGCGGGGGGGCATTGGGGCTGAAGCCCTTTCCTCTTAAGGGAACAGAAACAAGTGATAGAAACTGGGAGGGCTGCTGGGCAGTCCAAGCAAGTATGTGGGAGGCAGTATGGTGTGTGACCCCAAGCCTGGAACCTCCACCCTGCACGTGGGGGCTGTATTGGAGGGACCAGAAGCACTGGAACAGTCCCGTGGAGGGACTGAAGGCTTTGAGTTTACTCACTGGTCTCCACCCAGCCCAAACAGTATTTACAGACTCTAGAGGGAGCCACATTGATCTTGATCTGGTGAACAGCTGGGCTGTATGGACTTGAGTAAGGAGTGGAGGGAGTCCTAAGGGTGTTTATGTAGAGCATTAGGCAGGATTAAAAAAACCACATTTTTTTATCTTCAGTTGTTACAGGAAAAGCTGAATGAATTGAATTTTGAATTAAAATCTGTCCAAGAAACATCACAGAGGCAAGATCGTACAATCCAGAGTCTGAATGAGGCCCTGAAGAGCAAAGAGAGTAAGGTAATAGTTTTGGGTGGACAGGGTGGTGCTCACCGAAAGAGGAAAGTGTGCTAGCCCTGTAGGCAGTGACTGAAAAGGAATGCTTAAGCCATTGCTAGGCATCCTGGATCTCATTAAATTATTTCTTGCGAAGCTCTTACTTTTGTGTGATGCTGATATGTGTCATAATCCACGCTGGAGGCTTGGGACGGGAGGGTTTGTGCTTGGTTTGCCAATGACTGGGCTTCCTATCCTTTGACTCATAGACAGAAGAGCTGTACCGTATCATCGAAGGGCAGAATGAGACAATGGCCAAGCTGCGGGACATGTTACACAGAAGCCATCTGGGACAGTTGCAGGTATGTCCCTGGCAAATGTCAAATCCATCAGGTTTCGTTCTGCAGGGATCCTGATTTTTAAATCCCTCTCATGAAGTGAATCTTTGAGTTTCTCTGCTTCCCACTCTTGTTAGATGTCAGAGAGTCCACTCTCATCTCACGAGCAGCAAATGTCACTGCTAGATCTTCAAAACACGCTTTTCTGCACCAAGCTGGAGGTGCAGCAACTGAAAAGAGCTCAGCGCCAGAAAGAGCATCAACTGGCTGAAGCCAGGAAAGCAACCCAGCTCCTAGAGACCATGGTGCATGAGGAAGAGCAGCAGAAAGAGGCAACCTGGAAACACAACCAGGTACGACAAGCACTTAGCCTGGAAGTCTCTGGGTTTACATGATTTAAGAAGCACTGAGTAGTCAGTACTCTGCTTTCATTCATCATTTCTGCCTACATCAGTCTGGGCACACTTGGCTAACCCCTGGTCACATGTGGCAGGGAGAATTCTCCAGCCTCCTTAGCTTCATATCTGAGGATTTAGAATCAGCAAAGACGCTTGATAGTCGGTATGTTGTCACTTGTGTGTCTTTGGCTGGTGCAAATGTCCCATCTCTTTTTGTGATGTTACGAAGTTAATGTCCACTGCTGCACAGGTTAGCTGTGATTGACTGTAAAGCTCTGCTTGTGGCCAGAGCAAGGGGTTTAGATGGATGGATACCCTGGGAAATGAAATAAATTCAAACTTCATCACCGTGGAAGTGTGCTTTGAGATGTGAAAGCTGTAGTATTGCAGAGCATTTTTGGCTGTTCCCACAGCCCTTGTTGCTCTTGGCTTCTTCAGATTGACCTGCTGTTTACAGGTCTGTTGAGGATTGACTGCCAAGGTATGTACTTTTCCCTCGCAGGAGCTGCGTGCTGTGGTACAGCAGCTGCAGGCAGAGCTGCAGGACAAGGCACAGCAGCTCCAGACTGTGGAATGGGAGAAATGCCGTGAGCTGCAGGCCCAGGAGCAGAGAGTTCAGTGTTTGAGTCAGCGTCTGGCTCGCAAGGAGCAGCTTCTGCAGGTGAGATGCAGAAAGATTCAAGTTGAGCATAACTGGCCCTGGCCCCTGCTCCTCCTTTGGTAGTTGGCAATGCAAAAGTCAGTCTGTAGCTTTCACGCATGCCCTTTGAAGAAGGGAAGGAGAGAGATGCTTCTGGGCTCCCAAGGTGAGGAAGAAGGCACCGGTATCTGAGTACCTCAGCAATTGCCTGGCACTAATCAACCAAACCCAGGTGCTGGGACTCTACCACCCTTTAATGTCAGGGGTAGAGCAAGTGTAGGGTGGAGATAGTTAGCCCTGATTCTCCTGTGCTGCTCTCTGGGCGGGGTTCTGGACTGACAGTTGTACTAGGGGGGTGTGTGTGTGTGTGACCTCTAGGAATCGAGGGAGCTTCTGCAATGCCAGCAAGGCTTGGACAAGAGCCCTGCAGCCATGAATGCCATGTTGGAGAAACTGCAACAGCGAGTCAGCGACAGGGATGCTGCTCTGGAGGTGAGCACAGTCTGTTGCTGATGTCTCAGTTTTCCCTGGGGCTCAGCCTTTGGGCTACCATCAGCGGTGCTCCCCAAGGCTGACCCAGGGGAGACTGTGTCTTCTACATGCTCTTTATGGCTCAGCCTTCCAGAGGAGTCCTCTGAAAGGGAGAGCTGAGGTGCCCCACAAAGCCAGTGATGGGCTACCTCTACCCCATTTTGAGCAATCACCCCCTCTCACCCTAGCGAGCAGTAGATGAGAAGTTCTGTGCTCTGGAGAAGAAGGAGCAAGAGCTGCAACAGCTCCATCTCTCAATAAGGGAGCGTGGAAGTGACCTTGAGAGGCTGCGCAATGTCCTATCCAGCAATGAAGCCACCATTCATGTGAGTGTTTGTTACCTGGGTGTGCGGAGTCCAGCCTGGCTGTGGTGTGGTGCTAGAGAAATCTTCCTGGGAATGCTCTGGTTGTTGCTGGGGAGAGCGGCTGCAGGGTGTTGGCCTGCCTCTGGCCCTGTGTGTGGGGCAAGTTCCTGGGTCACTCGTGTTTCTGGGCTGGCTATAGAGGTGAGTGTGGTGTCTGGAGAGGATAGGGGTGAATCTGTGTGACTCTACTAGCATGAGAGACTGGTATTTCCAGTTCTGGTTAATTCAGGATAAAGTCTCTGTCCCTGGTTGAGGTGCTTCTGTTGTGGTCCCAGAGCCTGGAGAGCCTCCTGAAAGCCAAAACCCTGGAACTAGAGCAGGTGTCAGCAACGTGCCAAAACCTCCGCTGGCTGAAGGAGGAGATCGAGGCCAAATCCTGCAGCAGGCAGAAGGAGCAGGAGGGGATCATTCAGCAGCTGCAGACCTGCCTGCATGACAGGAACAAGGAAGTGGAGGTAAGGCTTTAGCTTGGCTTCCTCAGCCACTTTGCAGGGAGAGTCGTCCCAAACCAGAGCCTCCTGGCTGCCTGTGCCCAGTGCTTTGGAAGCTGGCTGCTTTTGGCACCTGTAAATACCTGTGCTTGCTGAGACACTGCTTTCTCAGCTACACCCAGGCTGAAGAGCTTTTCCTCCCTGAACAGCTTGCAGTTTGATGGTAGCAATGTCTCTCCATCTCTCCCTTCCTCCTCCTTGTTCAGGAGCTTACAGCAACTCTGCTGTGCAAGCTGGGCCCAGGGCAGAGTGAGGTAGCAGAGGAGCTGTGCCTGCGTCTCCAGCACAAGGAGAAAATGCTGCAGGATCTCCTCAGTGACAGGAACCATCAGACTATGGAGCATGATTCTGAAATCCGGGAGCTGCTGCAGGCCGTGAGCACCAAGGAGCAGCAGAGCAGAGTGAGTTGTGTGCAGTGCTGCAGTGGTGAGGCTGGGGTGGATGGCTCTGCCTTGCATTAAGCAAATGGAGGCTGCTCTCTGGCTGCTGTTGGTGTAGCCAGCTGCTGAATGTTGAAGAACCACATGAGATGCCATGAGCTGTTTCTAGGTTGGTCTCAACCCATCAGGTGGGAGCAGTTATGAAGCAGCAGCTCTTGTAGCAGTGTTCAGGTGTCAGGTCCCTGTCATTAAGTGGACTGGGCCAGGTTTGTGTGTGTGGTGGGGAAGATGTAGATCCTCCTAGATATCCATCATGCTCCTGGGCTTGGGGCAGCAGAGGGGCCATGGGAGGGATGCTGCTTCACGTGGGTGTTACCAGACCAGAAAGGAAGACTCTGAGCTGTTTCTTGTGTAGCACAGAAGTCTGAGGAAGCTCTGCTCATTGCCTCTTAACTTACATGTTAGTCAAAGTAGTGCATGGTCCTGGGCATGTAAATGCCACCTAAAGAGCCACAGTTCCTACTCTGCCTACTCTTGCACACTGGATGTGGTTCAGTGTTACCCAAGATACTTTGCACTGAGTTTCCGTTCATAAAAGGGGGCTAAAAGGCCAACCACTGTCTCCTCCTCTTTGTCTGTCCTCTGTCTTTCTCCCCTCCTGAATGGGGTGTGAGAAACTGAGGAACATGTTCCTCTGTAAGCAGAGAGGCCGAGCCTTGCTGCAGCTGTCTGGCAAGCAGAGATGGGAGGGCTGCAGTGGCGTTGCTGTGAGTGGCCAAGAGCAGTAGCTCCCAGGCTGGTTTGCAGATCACTTCTAGTCTCAAGTGACAGATAAATATTGAGATGGTTTCCATTAGTTTGTAGGGAAGGTGAGGGATAGGGATCCTACCCCTGATCACAGCCCTGCCTTTCCCTATTTTTCCTGCTCAATCAGACGGCTGCTGAGAAGATGGCGCACGCTTTGGCTGAAAGGAGCTGCGAGTTACAACTCCTACGCCAGCATGTGTTGGGGAAGGAGCCTGTCGCGACCCAGCCAGCTGGTGCCAGGCTGTTGAAGCAGGACAAACAGCCCATACAAGTAAGAATTGTGCACTGTGTTTCTCTTCCTGTGGCCTTGGGGCTCCAGAGAGAACTGATCGCAACAGGAGGAAATGGGACAGAGGAGAGCACTGCAGAGAATGATAGAAATGAAAGTGAGATTAGGAAAGAGACTTCCTATAGGAGGAAGAGAAGAAACTGAGGACCAGAAATGCTGCCTGGATGTTCTGATCTTGATTCCACCAGCCTTTGTCACTCAGTGTCTCCTTGCGTTTTGATCAGGCAGTATTTGAGTCCTTAGGGCACATGAGAGTATGAAACAAATCCACCCTCTGACCTTCCAGCATTGACCCAGTCCTTCCTTGGGCTGGGTTGCCTTGCTGTATTGTAATCCCCTCCCTGACATTGTCACATTCTGGAGGGGACAAGAGAGCTAATTTTAGGTCCCACTAATTCTTGGCAGAGCCTGCTGGCTGTTTGCTGTCTCTTCCACAATTGGAGTTGGTATTTTTAAAGCAGCTTTGCTAAAAACCCCTTTGAGGCTGAACAGAACTCCAAGGCTACATATGCGACGCTCCTACTTGAGCAGCTGTTAATGGTTTATTGGTGAGCTGACATGTTGAACGCTTTTAAGCAGCTGTAAACAGGTTGCTCATTTCTATTCCCAGGATCAAAGTGAGCTCTAGAGACTTCCCCTAGGACGTGTATAAGGGCCAAGCTCTGTTTTTTTCCTTCCTGCATGGTCTCTCTGGGCCACATCCCTGGATGAAGATGTAGGTCTTTGTAGAGTCTCAGTTGAAAGATGGGTTTGCTGCAGTTGAGTGAAACCTGTTTAATCCCTACTATGAAGACACTCACTGCCAGCAACCTCCCAGTGCCAAATAAAACAAGGCCAGAGCCCTATTGCCCCATGCATACAGCTTCTGGGTGCAATTCACTTGTGCCCACTGCCTGGTTAAATCCCCTTCATTGGTTTCTCACATTTCAGAGCATTTCAAAGCAGCCAGCAGCTCTGCTGCAATCCTGGAGCTCTGGGGAAGCTGTGAGTGCTAGGTTCCCCATAAAGGTGCAAACGTGCAGGCTTTTGTGTTTTCAGGAAATATTGCAAAGAGCTGCTGGAGGTACAGCCATTGCCGGACCCCCACAGGGAGACAGCAGCTGCAGGACAGAGGGAGGTGAGTGTGGTGACAGCTTCTTTCAAGGTCCCCAAATGTGACCAGGGTTTTTTGCTGTGGGGGAAACATAGTTACGTGAAACTGAGAGAGAGTAAAGAGCTTTGAGCAAGAGTGAGTATTTTGAAATAAAGCTATGCCTCCCTTTTGGGTGATGGTTCAGGGATGTCTGGGGATAGGAGTATGGGAAAGAGAAAGGCTGGTGTTGGGTTTGAGGTGAGGTGCTTCTACTCAAGAGCTGATGCTGTCCAGTGAAGGGTTTTTGACTTTATGGTTCAGGCTGGACTGAGACAAGTGCAACTAGTTTAGGTTTTGCCTTGGGGCCAGGACACCTGAACTTTGCAGGGGTGGGACAGCAGGCCTGGGATGTTGCTGTTGCCTTGGGCTGCTGTTTAGGGATCAAGCAGGGAAGAAGAGTGTTTACTAAGAGGCAATGTGGTGGAGAGTGCAAGCATCATAGACCTATCTTGCCAAAGAGGGATTCTGTCTGATCCTGAGGTTGGAGCTGACACACGGTAACCCTGCACTAACCAAGCTGTCTTTGCAGTTATGACGTCAGCAGCAGAACTGGAGAAGGATCTTGTTAATGCGAAAGAGGAGCTGGAGCTAATGGCAAAGAAGGAAAGGGAAAGCAGGGTAAGCCTGTAATGGAGCCTGTGATGATCTCCCTTGCTTATAGGAGACCATTGGGCTGCCCCTCACTGGAGGTTTTGCCCCCCCCTATTGTGAGGGTACCCCCAGTGAGATAAATAGGGCAGCAGCTTGCAGTGGGGTTTTGGCTTTCTGAAGGCTTGGGATTCTCTTTGGCTTTCTGAAGTCACGGACTTCTCTTCCCTCCCTAGCGGGAGCTCACTGCTCTCCAGTCTGTTGTGGCCACACAGGAGGAAGAGCTGCAGGTGCAGGCCTCGGATATAGAATCCTTGACCAGGACCATCGAGATCAAAGAGGACCTCATCAAGGTGAGATACATGCTGTGCTGGGTCGGTTCCGCCTGGGAGGGCTGCAGATGAGTGTCTTCTTTGCCCACATCCTGTACCTCGTGCTCACTCACTCACACTGAACGGCAAGACATAGAAACCAAGCTGCAGGCTTTCTGTGAAAGCCATGAGTGAGTACCCTCGGCTAAGGGTCTCTTCAGAGTAATGTGGCTGGCTGTCCATGGGTGGTATTGCTACTGGTTTGCCTACAGCCCTCTGTGTTGCTTGGGCCAGAAAGCAAAGGCCCCAAAACCCCAGAGTGGCATTATTTGGCTTTTTGCTCCTTGTGTACCAAACACCATTCTTGGAGAGTCCTTAAACAGTGCATTGTGTCCCTTCTCAGATCCTGCTCCAGGCTGTTGTCTGTGCCTAATACACCCTGGGTTCTTTGGCATTTCTTTCTTAGGAGACCTAGGTCTTTCCAAACACTGGAAACTTTTGGCAGTTGTGTTCCAGGAAGGATTATGAAGGTCCAGCTGTCCTTGTTACTGATCCCTTCTTCACTGAGCCCTCCTGCTCTTGGTTTTCAGGATCTGCAGATGCAGCTGGTGGATCCCGAAGAAATTCCAGCCGTAGAAAGGCTGACACAAGAAGTGCTGGTGCTTCGGGAGAAAGTGGCCATAGCAGAGTCACAAGGACAAGAGGCTACTGGAAACAGAAGGCAGCAGGTAGTGTGCCATGCGGGGCAAGCTTGGATGCGTTTATATTTCTGCCGGTGCTAAGTTACGAGGCTTTCTTTTCAGCCTTTGGATACGTTGAGATGTGCTTGTTCTTGGAAGCTGGCTGTGTACAAGAGGTGGAATACAGAGGAGGAGAGGATTGGTTCCCTTTAGCACTTGTCTCAAGGGCAGAGTCTTTCGGGAGGCCAAGGGTGACACTGATCACTTTGATCATTTGGACACAAGCAAGGGAGGAAGGGAAGCCCCTGTTTCTCTGGGGCAGCCAGATGCCTCCTTTGATTTCTGTCTCTAAGTGTTGCATCTTGTCTGTTCTCTCCAACTAGTTGTTACTGATGCTGGAAGGGCTGGTGGCTGAAAGGAATCGGTTAAATGAGGCTCTCCAGGCAGAGAGGCAGCTCTACGGCAGCCTGGTAAAGTTTCACACGCACCCAGACAGGTAAGCGAGGCTGCCTTGGCTCCATGCTCCCCTGCTCCGATGCTGGGGCAAGTGTGTGTGGTCCAGTGGGGCAATCCCTGAAGCAGTGATCGTTCTGCAAGTCTGAGAGCCCTCAGTGGGAAAGAGGGAGTCTGGGCAAAGAATCAGACAAATGTGGCTTTGGGAGTCCAGGTTTTAGGCTGCTTCTTTCCTTGAAGAGACTGCAGTGGCCAGCTTTAAATGCTACATAAACTGCCCCCACTGCCACCTCTTGTTCAGGCCCTGGGATTTCCATCTCTGTTCCCTAGCTTATCCCTTCCCAGCTCAGCTTCCCACCCACACTTAGCCACCTTTCAGAGGCTGCTGTCAAATTCCCAACCAACTGGTGGGTTGATAAAGATCTATCTAGGTGCTTATCCAGGCGGTTGTCCCGCAGCGCAGTATGGCCTGCATTCGCTGTCCTCCACACTAATCCCCTGCCCTTCATGGGACTGCAGCCTCTGGGATATTTGAGCTACCTGATAGCAAGAGAGCACATGAGTGGAGTGCTTGGGTAAGTACTGAAGAACAGCTGTGACTAAGAGTCCCCTACCATGGGCTGGAGCCTTTTTTGGGGATGGCTGTGCTCTGGGGAGGTTTAGAGGTGAGACAAGAGGTGGCCGAGCTGCCTGGGAAGCACGCAGAGTCTGCCTGGAGTAAGTGGCAGTCCCGGATGGAGGGGCCAATTTGGTGTGTGCTTGCTGCAGTCTGTCTAACCCTCTTCCTTTTTGTGCGGCGTGTCCGCTTAGCGCTGCGAGAGACCACACTCTGCAGGTGGAGCTGGAGGGGGTCCAGGAGCTCCGGGGACAGCTGGAAGAAGCTCTTGAAAGAAGCTTGGAGCGTTTGAGCAGGCTGGAGACGCAGGGCACCATAGGAGGTGGGGAACAGGAGCGTGTGAGAGTCCTACCCCAGCATGCCTTCTGAGCACTGGTGCTCACCCGCCTGCCACGGAAATGGTTCACTAACCGAGCGAGCCTGTCTCACTGACTCTGGGAGGGTTGCTTTGGTACTTGGTAATGGTACGATAGAAGTGGCGCAGGGCTTTTTTGTTTCACTTTTTAGCTGCTTCGGAAACGGTGATCAGTGCAATCCACCTGTGTCTCATGTATGTTCCTGTCTGACCCACCCTGGTGGTTACTGATGTATTTGCACATTCAAATCATTCCATTTTAGTTGATTTCCCTCCATCTCCCTTCTCTTCCCACCCCCACGGGCCAAATAAAGATTCCCTTTCTCTGAAGGAAACACCAAATGTTCTCTATCATCTCCCAAGTGCATGAGTGTGAGTTTTTGTATTCCCTCACCATTTTTCTTACCCAATGACATCCCCCTCTTGGGTTGATGGTGGCTGGCCCAAAAGGAGAAGGTATATATGGAAAAGTGGGTTCCAGAGCCAGAGAACTTGAGAAGGGCCGCGAGACCTGGTGGTGCTTGCCTGGGGCTCTTACACAAGTCTGAGCGTAGAACCAATGATTCATTTTATGCTTAAACCAAATCTTACTCCAGTATTGATGATTTTACCGACTTTTTTTTTTTTTCCCCCCTAATTGTAAGTTGTCTCAGCCTGGCTTGCGAGTGCCTTCAAGCGAGAGCTTCCTCCTCTTTTTGACAGATGGTTTGGGGTGACTGAGACCTGTCCCTGCTCCCAGGGTTTGGGCTGGGTCTGCTTCCTCATTTGTACGCGCACATCTCACTTACAGGCTCCACGCACCTTCTGCTTTGCTGGGGACAGTCCCACTTGGCACCACTGCATACCTTTTCTAGGGCATTTTTCACCTCCTCTGGGAGTGTTTGGTCTGGCGTGAGAGCTGAAAAACGGTAGCAACAGCTTTCTGATGACCGGTGCTTCCCATGTGCAGTGGGCTATGGATCAACTGTCTTGTACTTGATCACTTCCCAAGGTGGCAGGAGCAAATTTTGTCCCTCTGAGCATCTGTTTCTGCTTGCTGGGGAAGCTGAACTAGGACCGGGTGGAGCAGAAGAGCTCTGACTTGCTGGGCTGCGCCACCTGGACCTGTGACTGCTTTGCTGCACATCTTGTGACTGTTTCACATGGCACCACCTATCCCATGCCTTGCACCCATGCTGAGGTCTTGTTTTCCCTGCCTCAGACAGGGATAGGAGGCAGCACAGCTCTCCCTTCACATGCAGCAGGTCAGCACTACGCCTCTGGGTCCGTACCTAGCTGTGTGGTGAGTTCAGCAGTTCTCATGTGGCCTGAAGGGACACAGCTGGTGGCTGCTGGACAGCTCTGGTACTTGGTTAGCTTTTCCTTTCTTGTGTTTCATCTCATTCCCTTCCTCTCACTTCTCTGTGTAGCACCATCTTCTCTTTCTCCTCCTGCCTTTCACTTTGTAGGAGCCTTTGTGTCCCTGTCCTTATCTTTCCACCTTCCCTTCTCCATCCTGGCTCTGATGCCTGGCTGGCTCCCTGGTCCCTCAGGTACCGTGGAGCCCAGGACCCAGCACAGACTCGTTGGCATGGCATGAGGGAAGTCTTGGCTGGTGTTCCCACAGCTCCCATCTCTTCTTGTGTGTGTGTTTTGCTGCAGATCTGTCCCTGGCCTCTGCTAGCATCACTGCTGTAAAGTGCCCCATAGGGGAGCAGTATCCTAGGCTGAGGTGTCCCAACTTTTCCGCTCTGTTCTTTAGGGCCTCCTTTCATCCCTGATATCCCTGGCTGTGCACTCCTCTGCCCTGCAGGAGGACCAGCCTGAGCATCGCATGCCTGAGAGCACCCTCTGTCAAACTGTGCAGTGCTTTGTGCTGTCTCATAGCTCTTTGTGGAGGTCTCTCCTTCCTCCCTCAATTTCCCTGGGGACCTTGCTTCTCTTCCCTTGTTCCCAGCAGTGTGAAAACTTCCAGCGCAGCCAATGCACCTGGGTGTCCTGTGCCTGTGGGCCATGTGCAATTTTCAAGCCATGCAACTAATTCTCTTTGCCTTCAGGCTAGGTGTGAAAGAGAGGAGTCTGTGAAAAATAGTGCTGGGGTTGCATCTCTTGTCTCCTTTGCTGGTAATACAGAGAGAGCTGAGCAGCCTCTGTCCCTTTGAATTTGCACCTGCTGCAATGGAGGGTTCAAGCACTTGGTTAACAGCAGCCTGGGCACAGTCTGCCTTACGGGCATGCTTCTCTGCTCCCCCAGCACCACCTTCCTTTTCTCATTTTTTTCTTTTTCTTTTTTCCTTGAGATTTGTGCTCCCTTTTTCTGCCCCAGTCCTGGAGAGCTGGGAGCTGTGCGGGGCTGTGGGCAATGGTGAGAAATGGGGTGCTGTGTCCTGGCACAAGAAGTGGTTCTCCCATATCCCCAGAGCAACTCCGTTGGCTGTGAGCCACCCTGCCCAACCAGCTCAAGACCCCTGTGCACGTGGCCCTCAGCCCCCAGCAAAGCCTGCAGCCGAGGGTCTACATCCCCTCACATTTTGGGGTCTTGCAGCCATCAAGATGTAGCCGTAGATGGTTTGTCGCTTGGCAGGCTGTGTCCCTGGGGGCTCACAGGGCTGTGCTCTGGCTATGCTGAATGCCACCCATGGGAGCTGCTTCTTCACTGGGGTGCTGCTGCCACTTCCAGCTGCCTCTAAGTGTTTTGCTCCTGGAACAGTGCTTCTCCGTGATGGCTGCCCTTGCTCCCTGGGGCATGGCTGCTTCATTGAACAGGCTCCACCACGCAGGGTGATGTCTGCCCAGGCTGGGCAGTGAGGTGCCCCTGATTTTTGCAACCTCCTGGCAGTTGCTTGTCACGAGTGGGTCTCCTGAGTGTGCCACCATCTATGTGCACACGGTGCTATGCAACCACCTGCCCTGCCGCAAGGCATGCTCCTGGCTGGTCCTCAGCTCTCTCTCCCAGGAGCTATATGCTCCCCTGCTGGCTTCACCTTCACCAGTAATGTTTGGCCTCTCCTCCTGCCAGGATCTCTCTGCGTTCCCCCACTCTGTGTTCAGCCTTGCCTGGGGAGCTCCAGACCTTATGGTGCTGGGTTTGGCCATGGGCAAAGCAGCTGCATCTCCTGCGGGGCACAGCAGCTCTGAAACCTGGCCCCACACAGCCCCAGGGGCTGGTCTTGGGCCCTGTCTGAGCTCATTTCTGCCTGGGGAGAAGAGGGACTGGGGGTACGCCCATGTCCCAGCCCAGGCAGCCTGAGCCTAAGCAGAGCAGGCAGGGCCCTGCAGCTGGGTGGGAGGAAGGCTGCCTAGACAAGCGGTGCAAGCCCTCACCCTGGGCTGTGCACCAAGGGGCCAGGAGCAGAGCTCTGTGCGAGCAGAAAAGCGTGCCTCCAGCTCAGCTCTGTGGGGCAGGGTGGACCCTGTGGTATGGGACACAAGTTCCCTTTAGCTCTGCTGCAGCTCTGCAAGGCCAGCAAAAGGCTTGCAAAGAGCCCAGTGCCATGCACGGCAGCAGGACTTGGGCAGCATGGGCAGGGTAGCTGTTGGTGACCTCCCTGAGCTGCCCCTGCCTGGGCAGGTGATCGTGTGGGGTGCACCCACACACTCCTGCCAGGTTGGGACAGCACCAGCGAGGCTCCCTGCCTGAGCACGTGCTGCTGCTGGCTGTGGCTTATGAAGTGGCTGCAGGGTGGGTGGCATGCATGCATGTGTGTTGGGGCAGCAAGCACAAGGCGGTGTGAAGACAGAGATGTGGATGGGGCAGGTGCTGTTGCTGGGGTGCTGTCCCCTGGGCTGCAGGCAGCTGGGACTGTCCCCTCCCTCGGTGCCGGGCCAGCACAGGGTGATGGGTTGGAGCTCTAGCATGCAGAAAGGGGGTGGCAGGGTACAGGGACAGCAGGGAGACCTCAGTCCTGCTGGGAGTGCAACAGCACCAGGCATGTATGAGAGCAGGCACCTGCCCCGGGGCTGCCCACAGTGGCCACAGGCATCACCAGGGAGGAGGGGACAGAGGCAGTGCTGCCATTGCCACTGCTTTGAGTGCCTTGATGTGCTGTACCGTCCCCTAGGTCAGGCCACAGGCATAGATGCTGATGATGCCAGCACCAACTTCACTGACAGCATCAAGGAGGAGGCAGCCCACGGCGTGGCAATTCAGCACGTGAGTCAGGGCAGCGTGGCACCGGGAACAGGGAAGGCAGAGTTGGGCACTGCGCCACTGCTGGACTGTGTCCTAGCCTTTGGAAATGTCCCTGTCACCCTCTCTCTTTGCCCCTCTAGAGCAGCCCCCGGGCCCCTAAGGAAAGCAGGGGCGCTGAGAAAGCCCTGATGGGGAGCACGGCACCCGCCATACCGGAGCAGGAGTTGCGGGCCGAAGCGGCGCTGCGGG